GTGTGTGGGGGGGTTGGGGGGGTTTGGGGTTTTTTGGTTGGGTTTGCGGAGACTAAGGGGGGATATGATAGAGGTATATAAAATCATGAGTGATGTGGAGAAAGTGGATAAGGAAAAGTTTTTTACTTATTCCCATAATACAAGAACTAGAGGTCATCAAATGAAATTAATAGGCAGCAGGTTTAAAACAAATAAAAGGAAGTTCTTCTTCACGCAGCGCACAGTCAACTTGTGGAACTCCTTACCTGAGGAGATTTTGAAGTCTAGGACTATAACAGTTTAAATGGATAAATTCATGGTGGTTAAGTCCATTAATGGCTATTAGCCAGGACAGGTAAGCAATGGTGTCCCTAGCCTCTGTCTGTCAGAGGGTGGAGATGGATGGCAGGAGAGAGATCACTTGATCATTGCCTGTTAGGTTCACTCCCTCTGGGGCACTTGGCATTGGCCACTGTCGGTAGACAGGATACTGGGCTAGATGGACCTTTGGTCTGACCCGGTATGGCATTTCTTATGTTCTTATGTTAGGCATATGTAACTGGACATAATAATGTCTATACGATGCAAGCCCTGCGGGCAGAGAACCTGTTTGTTTGGCACTGTTTTGTAACTATACAGCATCATGTAGGAATATAAGAGCTGCCATACTGGATCAGACTAGTCCATCTAGTCTGGTATCCTATCACTGACCGTGACTAGTACCAGATACTTCAGAGGAAGATGCAAGGATTCCTGCAGGAAACAGTTATGAGATAATCTGCCCATGGGGATAGTTTCCTCCTAACTCCCAATAGTCAGAGGTTGGCCCGTGTCCTGATGCTGCACAGTGACTATCCCTTCCAAAACTCTTGGACTTTTTTTTTTTTTACTAGTAGTATCTCTAAAGGTTCTTGTTATCTATATGTAAAGGTCTGATCCTTTTTAGAATTATGCTCAACTCTTGACTTCAATTAAACATGTGGTGATCAGTTCCACTGGCTAATTGTGTGGCAAAGGTATTTCCTTTCATCAGTTTTGAATTTTTGCTACCTTTCAAAATCATTGAGTACCCCCATGGTCTTGTATGTTACAGAGCTAGACAAATAATAAATCAACCTCCCCACTGGCCCATTCTTCCATCTTCTCACATTTCCTGCTGTCTTCTCTACTCTGCTAATGATGTCAGCCTCGATTGTGGGAGAAGCTGACAGACAAACACTGTGAAGCTGTCTCCCACATTGCCCCTCATTCATGGAACATCCTCCACAAACTGATCTGTAGAGCCATTTCCCTCAACTTCTTCAAATGCTTTCTCAAGACCCACCTATACTGTGGTGCCTTTGGGACACTAACTGGCTCTGTGAATGCCAGTAAGGAGATTCATTAGTATTTATTTCTATTTTATAACTTCTTATAAACCTACTGTTAAATGTCTTTGGCTGTAATTCATCTAGTTATGCTCATGGGGAGTCTATGTAACTATATGTGCCTATCTCTGTTAACCCTGTCCGCTCTCTTCTTTTTCCTCCAGTTGTTTGTTACTCCCACCTGTTGTATCTTGTCCAAAACTGCACTGTAACTTTTCAGGAAAGGACTTAGGGCTTCTCTACACTACTGCTTAAGTTGATGTAAGTTATGTCGCTTAGGGGTGTGAACCCCCCCTCCCCCGAGCAACATAACTTACATCGACTTAAAGCAGTGTCTACACCTTGCTATGTCGGTGGGAGAGCATCTCCTGCCGTCTCCACTTTCACCTCTTGTTTAGGTGGATTAATTATGTCAATGGGAGAGCATGCTCCCATTGACATAGCTCGTCTTCACCAGACGCGCTAAATTGACACCGCAACATTGATGTAGCAGTGCTGATTTAGCACGGTAGTGAAGATAAGCCCTGAGTCTTTGTATGTCTCTATATGGCGTGTTCTGCACAGTGAGGCCCTGAGCCTGACTGCAGCCTCCGAGTGGTGTCATAAAACAGATCCATAGTAACTGATATGCACCAAAGTATACACCTTGTTACATTTCAGCACAACAAATGTAACATTGCACGCCATCCCATACCAATAGGCGTTCTACATGTTAACACAGGCACACATCACCCTACACACATTGCAAATGGATAAGGAGAACCACATCCCATATGCTCTCAGGTCCACCTTGAGGAAGAATTTAAGTCGTTCTGTTTCACAGAGATGTTTAAAGAGATAACCTTATAATAATTGTATGGGGGTGGGGGCATGTGATGGAGGGGTGAAGAGTTTCCATAAACCCATTGCCTCAGCTCAGAGAACCTGCTAAGGGGCAGTGGTCAGAGAGAAACAGAGGGAGAGAGAGAGATATCAAGTGTAGTAATCAGAATGAAAAATGGAGCTCCGGTTACTTTAAACAAGAGCTAATTTATCACGAGAACGAGTGGATAAGTAGCTGAGTTTCAGGCATTCAGTAAGTTCCCCGTTCTGCTCCAAAAATTATTCCACCCCTGTCTCCATGCTCCCATAAATCATCCCCTTCTTCACTTCTGCTCCGATTGCCAATTACTCCTTCCTACGACACGCTTTTCCCTGCCCGACACAATCTGATGGGGCCCTGCCTTTTAATTTTACAAGTGCTTTTTTCTTCCTCTCTCCCTACCCCCCTTTCTTTTGTTCTGATTTTTTATTTTATATTTTAATTTATTTATTTTTAAATAAGACTGGTAGGGCATAGATCTCTTTTTGGTACTTCCCAACTGGGAAGCTAGCTGGATTTCAGGAGGGATATGGGAATTAGTTATTTCTGCCAATGTGGAGTGTCTTTGAATTTTTTGTGTCCTCTTTCTAGGTGCATGGCAGATTCTAGATCCATCAAATCTATACCAGACCTAAATGGCTTGTTGGTGAAAGGTTGTTTTTCACCTTATAGGAAAACCCTGTATTCTCTATCAATTTGTGTTTGTTTTTGAACTAGATACTGCACGTGACATGTATAGCTTCAGTTTTCTGTAAAACATGGTTGCTCAAAAGAGTTTCTGTGCTACACTGACTGCAGCTGCGGGAATCGTAATCTCCGAGGCAATACATTGCTTCTTCGGCAGGGTCCCAGTACTAGGTTCTGTACAAACACATAGGAAGAGCCCGTCTGGGCCCTAATACAGGTAACTTAGGATAGGTCTGTACTAGCAACTTTTGCCAGTGGAGCAGTGCTCGTTAGGGGTGTGGGTTTTTGAATGACATTTCTGTATTAGCAGAAACCCTAGCATAAACACCGTTATATTGGCAGAAAAGGGCTTTTGCCAGTATAGTTTATTTCACTTGTGGTATAAGCTGTAGCTGCCCTCTTTTGACAGCATAAGTTGCATCTACACTAGGAGGGTTTGCCAGTATATCTATACCACAGACTTTTTCTAGTGTACAGGAGGACTTAATATAGTGAGAATCACCATACTATTTAGGCACTGGATGAGTCTGATTTCAAATCACAGGAAAAAATCTCAGCAAATCTATTTTAAACACTAGAAGAATAAATGTCTTGAAATGTTGTTTTGTCTGTATATTTTGTTTCATAGCATAAACTACTCCATATTTAGTTGAGTTATAGTCTGTATGTTTCACATAACTGCATTTTTTGTTCACTAGTTCAGCACGTGAGCAGTGTGGTTTTTTGGTAAGGATACCAACAAGGAATCCAACAGCTGCTGAAATTCCACAGGGAAGAGGTTGAGTGGCTGCTCCAGAAGGATGGTGCCATTACAAATGCTTGATAGGTAAGACACCATAAAAACTGTCTGTCTCTCCATTAACAAGATATGGACAATAACATGGTCTTTGAAGGGTTAATTAGATGATATTGATACAGTGCGTAGGAAACAAAAAGAGCTTTCTAAGGGCTAATGTGTACACCCTTATTTACGTTGGTGAGCACTTACATGAGTTGTCCATTGAAATGAATGGGGCTGCTCTGGTGGGTAAGTGCTCACTAACCTGAATAAGTATCAGAGGGGTAGCCGTGTTAGTCTGAATCTGTAAAAAGCAACAGAGGGTCCTGTGGCACCTTTGAGACTAACAGAAGTATTGGGAGCATAAGCTTTCGTGGGTAAGAACCTCACTTCTTGCATCTTGCATCAACCCTCTGTTGCTCTTAACCTGAATAAGGAGTCTACAACCTAGCACTAAGTACCAAGAGTTAGTCATTCTTGTAAGACATTAAACCAAAGTGCATGAAACTTATTGAATCTGAAAAAGGAGATTCCCCTGCCCTACAGAAGAGAGAATAGGCGAAGTGACAGCTCCGGCTGCCTTACTGCTGAGAAGGCTGCTGCCCAGAGCTGATTTTCGAGCTGGATAATGGATGGAGGAGATGGATTACCTAGTGATAAATCACATGGAGGAATCGCTGATGCCAGAACTCATGAGCAAGGGGCTCTCCAGCACACACTGCAATGGGTATTGCCATCTCTGTCTTAGGAGTGCTCTTCTCTAAATGCGCCACTGTGAAATATAAACAGGAGTTAGTCTGCCCGTTGAATGAGGACTTTACATAGGAGCAGATGTAAAACAGGGAGCATTTTCTTTGTACATCTATCTGGACACATGTTTCCTGTGACCCCTTTATGTGAGGCAGGCCTCTGGGCTCTTGTTTTCACCTTTTACTCCCATTCTTCAAAGGCCCTGTGTCATCATTGCATCCCCTTCTCTGGCCAAGGAGGGTGGAAGGCATCTCTCGCTGGGTCTTGTCAATGCCAGATTGGCTAGAGGAGCTAGCTACAAGTCTGTTCCTTCCCACGGGGGCTGTGTCCACTTCCTCTATAGTGTCCCCACTTACCCAGGGACCTGAGCTTGGGCCTCCTGAATGACAGCATGTTGCAGTAGCAGTAACCCTCTTTGCTTTCCTGAAGTCACTGGTGCTTTAAACAAGAGTTCCACGCCTTCTGCTTCACAGGATGCATATATTCTATACATTTTACAGGGAAGATTCTCATGGCTACTGTAAATTAGCCTGTATCCTCCAATTCCTTCCCTCAGCTCTATGGATGATGCACTGAGCAAGACCGCATGCACCCAAACAGCACACAAATGCTTTACATTTTCCAGCTTATCTAATGATACAAATAATACCCATGTAGACTTGGGCACATCCTAAACCTGATACAACTCCAAACGGGGGTGAAATGGACTCTGGACATGGGGGTAGACTGGGAGAAAGAGAGCTGGGAAAGACTGTCTGCTAACTGGTTTTCCTTACTTCATAAAAGGTCTTTTCAATCTCTATCTTCTAGGTCTTTGGGCCCATTTCCCTTCCAGGGCAGCATTGTTCCTTATAGTCTATTTTCCAGGTCAGCATCCAGTTTAATTTTAAATGTTCTTAAGAGATGGAGCTTCCCACACTTCCCAGGGGAGGAACCATGTCACTGTCTACTAGATCCTTCATTTCATTCTCCCCTTTGGCTCTGCAGCCACAACATACTAACTGCTCCACACCATGCTGCTGACAGGCTGCAAATGCTGCTGGCTCACAGACCAAGGTATTGGCAGGATAAGACACTCAGTATTTTTGACAACATTTCAGCTTCATTCAAAACACAAGTGAGATTCTTTTTTAAATCCATATTTGCCAAAGAGAAAAGGACTAAATGTGGAAGGAAGGATGCCGTGTTTTCAAATGTCCATCCAGGTGTAGATGTGAGAGCAGAAACACACCTCTCTTCCCCCCTGGGTTGCCAATTCTGATTGGATGTATTCCTGGAGGCTTCATCACATGACATAATATTTAATTGAATATTAATCTTTAATTCCTGGAGACGCCAGGACAATCCTGGAGGGTTGGCAACACTCCCCCCACCCTGGGGGAAAAATGTGTAGGAAGCATAACTTGGCACTGTCCCCTGTTCAGCTTCATAACAAGAGCTGGAGAGCACTGATATGTTCCCCTCTGGTGGGGCAGAGCTAATCAGGAGAGGCTGCTGGACAAGAACTGGAAAGGAAACCCTATGAATCACACAGAAGGAGTAGGAAACCCTATGAATCAAATGGAAGGAGTTTGAAACCCAACAAACTTCCCATAGAGTGGAACAGAAATCAATGCCAAGCAGCCTTCTTGAAAGCCTGCAAGGAGGCAGTCAGCAAACGTGTCTCGCTGCTTACCCCTCAGTCAGGAGGATAATCAATTGCATGGACACCCAAACCTTGCCCACCCTAGAAGCTGCGTTGGCAAAGTGATTTGGTTTAACCTGTAAAGTCCTGAGTGGCTTGGGACCTCGTCAGTAATTATTAACCTGGCTGTGTTGTTTTTATGTAAAGAATCTGACTGGTCAATGCCCAGTCAAAGGTGGGGACGTAGTTCTTACTCTTTCTTGAGCAGAGGTAATTGAGCTCGCTCTGCAGCTATTGGGCCACACTAACCCAATTCCTACTTGTTGTTTTCAGAAGTAGGGGAGCCCTGCACATCTCTTTAAGGCAAGGATTTCTGAGGCTTTATTTATTTTTAAATATTTTTCTTTCCAAAAGGAAAAGGGGATTAAGAAATAGAGGAATCTCCTGGCTGAGTTCTCCTGAGAACCTGGTATATCTGGAACATTGAAATGACAGGCTCTACTATGCTGCTCTGTTGTTGCATATTTGGAAAATCCTAAATATGTGGTTTAATACTAGAAACTTTCCCCACAATTCCCTGTTATTTCACAGCGATCCTGTGGCACGATATGGTGGCTTGCTGCAGTTGTATATTATACTATTTGGTTTTTACTTTTTTTTCCTTTAAAAACAAACAAACCTAGAAAATTACATTAAAATCCTACATTAAAAGAACATTGTTTAAGTTGCAAAGTTAAGCACTTGAAAATTGGGAAAAGCCAGATTTACTAATGCCTGTGCAACCTTAATTTGTCCCCCTTGTGCATGTGCACTATGATTGTCTTTAATGACACAATCATATACTGCTTGTTCCACAGGACCCCCTGCCTCATTCAGTGCACAGGTTGGAGACACTAGGCAGAATTAAAGTTGCACAGGCAATCATGAATTTAGCATTTCCTCTTCTTTTTTTTTCTTAGTGTTTGACTTTGCAACCTAACTCTCATTATGTTAAAGGTAGTGGGGTTTTTGTGTGTATAGTATGAATTAAACATGCACCTCTAGATCAGAGCAACAGGAAGGCTTGAAGACTTTAGCATCCTAAGTCAGGAGCCTAAAGAATTTAAGGTTCTTGAGCTATTGTTAGCTCAGCCACATCTTAAGGCGTGAGACTTGGCATGTTTGTTGTTAGAGGTGTCAGAACCACAGATTCTGCTGCTTCTTGCAAAGTGACACTCCGCTCCCCTCAGATGTGCCTCCAGCAGTTATCACTCCACATGCTGGTCTGTAAGGGCTCCTTAGTACCCACTACAGGATTCTCTGATGGGGCTGGACTGGCTTATCCTTCATGTGGCTCATAATTGAACCAGTGTGCCTTCTTTTCGCCTTTTTCCTAGCCATTGTGCCCCTGTGCTGGTAGCATGATACACATGGGAAGCAGTCCCTGTCTGTGCTGAACTGGCAGCCATCCAGAGGAGTGTCGGGGACAATCCTGAGGAGGGACAGGAAGAGAGTATGGTCAGATCAGAGAGGTCAGGCTAGACTTAAGCACATTGCTCGTAGATGTAACTCACCTGCTCCTGTTGGATATTGAATTAAATAATTTGCTAAAAATCCACACAATTTTGTGTGTGTACATGTTTGATGCTGGATTTGACTGCTGTGAAGAGGCTGTGCCTGGGGCTTTATCCTCACAGCAGGTACAGCAAAGGCAGTGCCAGCTTTTCCCGCTCATGCACGCACTCATGCCCCAACAGTGTATGTTGACCTTTTGGGGGAGGGGCTTCCCCTGGAAAGTTAGAAGGGAGTTCTGTGTCCAATGAATCCTTGGCCTCCCTGCTGAGCCAGTTGAGCCTAATGGGTCAATTGCTGCCAACTGCGATGTGTGACTTAGAGATGAGCAGCTCAGGGGCCAATTCCCAATTTCCTAAGCCAGTCAGTCCCCTAACAAAATACATCCTAATGGTGTTTCTGTCCCAGCCCGACAGCCGTTCAAAGGGTGATTTCTCAGGAGACCCTTCTCCCTTTCTCACCCAAACGTTAGTCCCTGTTACTGTGTCTGCCACTCCTGACTTTATTGTGAGCGACTAAGCATTGGAATAAAACTAAATTAAAAAGAAAAATAAAGGATAAGAGGAATAGGCTGAGCCCTGCTGAGGTGACCCAGTGCCAGCGATATAATCATTGCAGAGAAGAGCCTTCTCCTATCAAGAGATCTCCAAGCAGCACTAATGTTTCCTGCCACATTCATTCTGTGTCTCTAAAACAAATCTCAGTGGGGAAGGTTATCTCAGGGGCTCTTTAGCCGATCCCCTCGTATGTCCGTCACAGCAGGAAACCAATTAGGCTGCACTGGTTGCTTACTTGGATGGGGAAGGAGCCAGCAACGTTTGAGATTAACTGGGAAAGAAAGGAGTTGAACTCCATTCAGAATCCCTGCCTGACAAAATGTTAGGTTGGTTTGTTTTTAAGTGAATTTAGCACTGGTGAAAGGGGCCAGGCTTGGAACTTAAGTTGTTCGCGTTATTCTGTTTGCAAGTGAACTCACATTGAATTTTCCAAGTGTCATTTGTTGCATGTTATTTTCTGACAAAAGGTTTAGTTCATATGAATGAATTTCACCCACACTGGGACCAGAATTAAAGTTGTGTTTGTATGCTGGAAGGATGTGAGTACTCTTTCTTTACATTTGGAG